CGCAGAGGTCCTGCAGCGTGGGGTGGCCAAGTCCCCTCGCTCCCGGGAGCGAGGTGCCAGGCGGCAGCGGAGGGTCCGGGCTGGGGGTGCCCGGAGCGGGAGGGTTGGGGCACAGAGGTGGAGCGGAGCGTTGGCCGGGAGGTCAGCGATGAGGGACTTTGCGAATAAACCCCCAAACCCAGCTGAGGCCCAATCCTTACCTCACGGCAGAGCTGTGTAGCAGATACGCTCTCTCCCCTCTCTCTCTCCGTTTTTTTTACAAGCAATAATGCCTCCTGTCCAGCCGGGAAATGTCCCCATGAGGAAGGGGCCAGAGCTGGCCCTCCCCGCAGCCGGCTGAGGGGTGCCACGGTGCCGCCCTGGCGGGGGGGGGCAATTATTTGGGGAGGGGGGGAGTCTCCTCTTTGTGCCCACGAACCCCCCAGTTCTGCAGGGAGCCTGGGATCTAAACTGGAAGCCGGGGGGTCTGGGGCCATCGTGCTGAGGCAGGAGGATGCACGAGGGGCTTGTGCACGGGGGGCACAGGCGGGCTCCGAGTCCTGCAGCAGCGGCCCCAGGGCCGGGGGGGCAGGACCGGCCCTGGGACCCCCCTGTAAATACCCCCCAGTAGTAGGGGTGGGGGCTGCCCATCACCTGCCCCAGTGCTGTCCCCTCTGCCTGGGCACACAGGGCGACAGCAGAGCATGGGGCTGGACCAGCACGTGCCATGGGTGACCCCCAAGTGCTCTGCACCCCCCTGCCCTCCGTGGGAGCTCAGCGCCGGGCTGGAGGCATTCAGAGGATATTTATTGATTTTTACAGAGGTGGATGCTGCTGCTCCAGAGGAGGGGTTAGCTTTTTATTGGGTTTTTATTTGTGTTTCAAATGATGGGTGAAAAAAAGGAGGGGGGGATAAAAAAAAAAAGCCCAAGACATGTTACCTGGGAGACTCGGCAGCGGGGCAGGCAGGAGGGGCAGGCAGGGCACAGCTGGGGGCCCCCCGCGCCCCTCCATAGCACCCCAATTGCATGCGAGTAAAGAGGCCGGGTCGTTCCTTCCCTCTGCAAAGTCTCTGTCCAAAGCACTAACTACAACTCAGCATTTTTAAGTCTATAAACAAAGGAGAAAAAAAACCCCAAACAACTGTGACTTTTCTGAGCTTGCTTCTTACTTTCTACCCCCCCCCAGGGACAGTGTCCTCCCCTGCCCGGGAGCTGCTGGGGAGGGCAGGGACTGGCTCCCACCCCAGCATCACTCCCACAGCTGCTCCCAGAAGAGCAGGGTTTGTGGGGTGGGGGGGCTGCACCCACCCAAAAGGAGCAGAGCCCCTAGGAAGAGGGGCTGGCCGAGACCCAGCCCACACCCCCCACCCCACTTGCTGCAGGAGGAAGGACATGAAACCCACCTCGCTGTTTTCACTTTATTTTCTTTAAAAAAAAAAAAAAAAAAAAAAAAAAAAAAAAAAAAAAAAAAAAAAAAAAACCCCCCATTCCCTTTTCCGAGCCCTTTTACAGCATGCAGGTTTAATAGAGTTTTGCTTTGTCTTAATACCTGTTTTTTTTCCTCATCTGGTTTATTTTAAACACATCACGATGTGTAGGAATCTCTAAATATACCGCAAATATAAACAAAACAAAAAAAAAGAGGAAAATATATAATATATAACAGTAGTCTAAAACATAAAGTGCACGGCAATGGCTTTGCACGACTTCTACACAGCCAGGGTGAGCACGGCCAGGCCTGGCAGGGAGAGGGGCACGGGTCCCACCGCACCCCGGCCCCGCTCATCCCACCCTTCCCATCGCAAAATTAAAAACAGAATCAGTGTCTTGATTGGCAAAGAGTGATTGGGGAGGAGGGGCAGCATCTTCGTAGCCAGAGATTTCATCTTCCGAGGTGGTAAATGGGGTCTGGCCACCGTCAGCTTCTGATTCCTGGCGCTGTCCGGAGTGGGGGGGGGGCTGCAGGGAAGGTGGGGGGCGGTTTCCTTGGTTGGTTTCCTCTGGTTTCTTTTTGGATCGCAAGCACAGTCCACTCCCAGGAGAGAGGCAGAGATGGGGCGAGGATGGGGGATGCAGGCTGGCCCAGGCCCTGGGATGCTGTTTGCGGGAGAACAGAGGGGAGGGGGGCTTAGGGAGGGCAGGGCTGGTGCCAACTGGGGGTGCAAGCCCCTGCTCTGCTCCTGGCCCACGGGCAGGTCGCACTCCGTTCCAGGTCTCCCTCTCCTGACAGCACCGTGCGGATGGGAGCGAGGGGGCCTGGGGTCCCTGCTCTGTCCCCGGGAGAGGTGGGCGTGCTTGCACAACCCTTCGGCTAGGTAACCCAGAGCTGCCCCAAAACCGGGAAGCAAAAACCCAAGGGGAAAAACGCAGTCAAGGAACTTCATCTATGCCAAGGAGAGGAGAGTGCTTTTTTTTTTTTCTTTCAAAGGTTTTAAGGCGCTAAAGCGGGGGGCAGTGCAAGAGCGGGTGATTTCCAGCCCGGCCGTCCCTGCAGTGCGTGTGGGAGGGCCAGGAGGAGAGCGAAGGCAGGGACCGAACCAGGCTCAGGCAGCCCGCATGGACCTTCTCCTTCCCGAAACCGCTGGGCAGCTGCCGCACAGCCCCCACGCCAGGTACCCGGGTGGGAAGGGGCGAGAGGAGCAGCAGATCCCCAGGGAGACCCAGATCCAAGGCATTGGCTTGCCAATACAGTAACTCCCCATGCAGGTGACTCACTCCCAGCCATGAATTAAAGATGAAAGCTGCTACAGGGGCTGAGCGCGCGGGTCTGACAGCTGCAGGGGGAGGAACGGGCTTTTATTTCTGGCTTTTTTCACACCACAAAGCTGATCGTGATCCAAACAGATAACAGAGCCTCAGCCCCACAGAGCACCGGTGACGAGCACAAGCGTGAGGCCGGGGGTGGATGAGCGCTGAACATGAGTCATTGCTGGCTCACTTATGAATGAGGGGTGGGAAGAAGGGGACAGGGCTGCAGAGCCGAGGAGGAAAGAGCCGGAAGGAGGAGGGGAAAGCAGGGAGGATGCTCAGCTTCCCCAAGGAGAGGAATGGGCTTGGGCATGGCAGTGGCTTGGCCACGGGTGACACGGCCACCTCCTGGACTGCGGGGAGGTCCCATAGGGGCCTCTCTCAGGGACACCTCTGGAAACATCCTGGTGCTCAGCATCCCAGCTCCTCCGCACGCCGGAGGCTTTGTGCTCCCCCTAGTTGGGAGCAGCAGGGAGCAGAGCAGGGGAGAAAGCGGGGGACTCCCATATCAGGGAAAGGGGTTGTCATCACACAGCCTGACTGCAGCCCAGGAGGGGAGAAACAATTACGACAGCAAGCTGCTGCCACATTAGGTGAGAGCTGCAAGGAGGGGGTAGAGCAGAGCCAGGCAGGCAGCAGAGCCGGGAGGAGGGAGCACAGGGGGGTCCCCATTGGGCTCTGCACCCCCCAACACCGCAGGGGATCCAGACTCTGGCTGCCAGGGATGTTTGCAGAGGGGTGCTCAGGACCCAGACCTCCCCCCTCTCCACACCCAGAACTACAAAACACCCTTTCTAGCTCCCTCCTGCTGCCCACAGTTGGGGCAGGCTCTGATGTCTCCCCTGTGCCCCTCTCTAGGCAGTCACCCAGGCTGGCCACCCCCTCCCCATGGGGACCGGGCTGCCCACGTACCTGTGCAGAGAGTGGGGGCTCCCGCCTCATTGCTGCTTGCAGGTGGAGAGCTTGCGGATCTTGCTGCTGGCAGAGCAGGCCTTGCGGGAGGGGTTGGACGAGGCGCTCGCCCGCCGCTCCGCCTTCGATTTGGTGCTCAGCTGTCCCGTCTCTGTCCCATTCATGCACACGGCCTTGGGCAGCCCTTTGCCACGGCTCTGCCCGTTCTGCCCTGCCTCCTCCTCAGGCACCTGTCCTGCAAGGGAAGAGAGATGGTGAGGCAGAGGGAGGGCAGTGACCCTGGAGCATCACCTCCACCAAAGAGCAACCCTTCCCATCGCCTGGAACACAGGCTGCTCCTGAGGGAAATCAGAGCCCATTTGTTTCTACGCCTTCGAGGACCACAGGAGAGGTAGCCCCAACAGTGGACGCATAAGGCAGGGAGCCCGAGACTGCATCTCCCTCCCTGCTCCCACTGAGGACTCGTTTCTCCAGCACATGGCAGCTGGTGGTCCCCAGCAGACAAGAGAAAAGAAAACCTGAGGCAGTGAGCGAGAACCACGGGCAGGGCCAGTCCAGACCTGGAGAACGGCATGCTCCCTTCCCCCTCCCGGGCAGCTGCCGTGCCCACCCTGAACCCCCAGGCAGCAGCCTGGCTCCTGGCCGGGTAGCAGAGGGGCAGCAATGGAGGAAGTCACTCCTCTTCCTCCACCCTTCTCTGGAGGAGGGTGCAGGTCCCAGCCCCATCCACCAACCGCCGGAGCACCCAGGGCCTCTATGTGCTTTCGCAGCGGACGGGAAGGTCTGCTTCACCTGCAGCAGCACGGCCACGTCTGGCAGGGGCCGGGGGCACTGCCTGTTTAGGCAGCAATGCAGCAGCTCAGGCATGCCACTGTCCCCTGGAGGGGACACCCAGAGGGGAGAATGGCTTCAAATCAGCCCCTCTCCCCTCCTCTGCGGGCCAGCTCAGCATGACTCAGCAGAGCAGATCAAGAGCCATTTCTAGAGGCATCTGCCCCCGCTGCCACGGCTGGACCGGGGCTCGGGTCCCATCCATTCACCCAGGGAGTGAGTGATGAAGGGCCCCCCTGGCACAGCCCTGGCCCGGAGCAGGACGGGACACCACCGCACAGGCAGCCCAGCGTGCTCCCATCAGTAACGCGGCACATCCCCTGGTCAGATGCAGGGCTGTTGAGAGGATTCGTCAGGTTCCCAGCTCCCCCCCACCGGATCCAGCCGAGGCAATTTCCTTCCAGCAGGAACGTCATGCTCCAGGGCCCTTCAGTTATGACTCAGAGGTTTGAGTGGAAGCAAAGGCTGTAAGACGATTATGTATAATTTTCTTTAAAGGATGCTCAATCCTTTCTCTGCCAAGGCTGAACAGCACGTCATCTCTCTGTACTTGCGCCAGTGATCACCCCACCACCGCTGAGCTCAGGGAGGAAGAGGACACAGGTGGGGACAGGGGTGATGGGAGCGCCGCTTTTCCTCTGGAGGAGAACAGCGGGGGTCCACCTCAGACCCCTGCACTCCTCCACCTCATCACATCAATCCTAGGTACCGCTACGGCAGCAGGGCTACATGGGTTCCTGTCTGCTCTGCTCCATCCCCACATGGCTCTTACAGGGAGCCCGGCAGCTATGCGCAGCATATCCTCCATGGGTGAAGAGTCATTCGGGAAACAAGCTGCAAGGGGACGCAGAGGTCACCTTGTTCAGACAAAGTCACCTTCAGCACCCACCTTCCTCTCCCTGGAGGGCTCATGCTGGGGAGAGGGATCAGCCTTGCTGAATGCTCGCAGAGATCTGAAGCAGCAAAGGCAGCAGGAGCCTGGACCCAGCACAGACCACGGCCCCTCTGCCTGGTGGGGACTGGCTTTGGTAAAGCCTCACCAGTACAGAGACCATGAACAAAGTGCAGGCTGCAGCAGGGCAATACCCAGCAGGCTAGAGTAAAAACACATCCTTGGAAATCAGGCAGCAGATTGAGCACTGCCATGGCCAGCCTGGCCTGGCACAGGCTGCGAGCACCAGAGAACAAGGGTGCTCACCAGGGAGTGGATTTCTCCCCCTAAAAGCAGACTTAGCTGCAGAGCTGGGCCCAGGCAGGAATTACCTTGAGAAATTACCCTGCTGATTGATCTACAGATCAAAGCAGTCAGTTCTTCAAGCTAGTCAGCTGCACTCCTGGCTTGTTAAGAGCTCGGGAGCCCCTTCCCGGTGCTGTGGTTTGGACACTCCAGCATGCCAGAGCTGGGCCTCCGGCTGTGCAAAACAGGGTGAGGTACTGCTAGTCCACCAGAGGCTCAGGACAGGGGCTCAAAAACAGAGAAGGATGGTAGGATAGATCTGCCTGTTGTAGAGAAATTCTGCGTTACAAGTGCAATTGATTCCCCCATAGACCTGCTGGTGAGCTGCTCCTTGTATCCCTCCCTGACAGCTCCACCAAGTCTTGACACAGCTCCCCGTTATTGGCTTGCTGCTGCTTACCTGAGCACTTCTGTCTTGCCCCGAGAAGAGCCAAGGATTGACTCGCCAGTGACAGCTGCTGCCTTCGTGCACCCAAGCCTATCACTGCCATAGCGATGGCACCCACTGTGCTCCGTGCGGGGGCCATCCAGCCTTGCACCTCCTGAGAAACACCTTTGCACAGCTCACCACAAAGGATGGAGGTACCTTGGACATCTGTCATTACCTCAAATTCTTTCTGAAAATGACTGGCAAGGTGAGAGGCTCAGGAGCATGAAGCAGAAATGCTAGCTCTACCCGGCTGTGCGCTTACGGACCTGCTATCGATCTGATCAGCTTCCAGCTTCTGACCCCTTAAGAGGGGGGGACTCGCTAGGAAGGGCTGAGGCATCCAAGCTCTAGGACCTCCTCCAGAAAAGAAGGACACGCTGGCCCCAGAGCTCCTCCAGGGACGGGGCTCTGCCCAGGGACTCGGAGCAGAGCAGCTCACCGTGGGTCAGGCTGCAGCCCAAGAGCAGTGCAGCCTGGCCACCCCCACCCCTCCCAGTTCAGGGTTTTTCCTCTTCTCCCTACATCCCAACTGCACGTCTGCAGAGCCTCAAATAACCCCATTCAGAGCAAAGCTGAACACTTATCCTTCCCCTCCCTCAGCTGAACTCAGGCCAAGTCAATTAACATTTCTGACTGGGGAGGGAAAAAAAAAATCCAAACAGTTCATTTGTCTTTTGTGTGACTCTTCCCTCCTCCCCCTCCCACCCTGCTTCAAAAGCACAGTCCCAGGAGTCTATTATGGATACCAAGGAGGGAGGGTGAATTGCAAGCTAATTTTACCTCCTTCACCAATGACAGTTGCTGACGTTCAAATTAATGAAAATAAAAATTCAACATGGGATGAAGTCTTGGCAACTGTCTGCCCACACGGAAGCCAGTGACCCAGTGCTGTGTCTGTTCGAACAGCTATATCCTACCTTACCATTACCAGCTGAACAGTGCTAAAAATAAAATAAATAAAAGGAGGGCTGAGAGAGGCATTGAGAATGTGCATGTTCGTCCTTGCCACCTCTCACATTTCTTAATGGCTCCATCCAACTCATTCAGGCACAAAAAAGGCTTCAAAATAAAACCATGAAGAGCTTTTGAATTGCTGTGTTTGTCAGACACAAACACACATACATGATTTGCAGCTAGAAACGCACCTTTTCAAGCACCAGGCTTCACTTAAAGACTCCAGTCCTGGCTTTATTTTCCAGCCTCAGTCTGAATGCTAAGGGAGCAAAACAAAAACCCCAGAATCAAGCTATGCAGCCATTTGCCTCTGCAGGAAGACAGGGCTGCAGCAGAGGAAGGGGTTAATGGCAGGGGAGAAAAAAAGCAGAGCACAGCCTTCTAAATCTGAAACACAGCACAAAAGCAACAAGCAAGATGCTTACATCCATTTATTGCATATGCTGCCTCTCTCCAAATAAGAGGGGGCAGCCACTTCTGGAGAGGATGCTTTGTCACGTGCTCAATGCCACAGTTATTCTCTCCTCAGCACTTCCCTCGGACGAGATGTTTAACACCGATTGAACCAGCAGCATGTAACATTTAAAGCTCTCTACAGAGCTGCATAAATCTTTAAATAACCCTTTAAAAATAAAAGCACATTCTCAAAGCCCCTTCTTCCTCTGAAGAACACAAGATTTAATGAGGTTCCCTCTTTTCCCCTCCCAAACTGAACACCCACTCCCACCTATGAGTCACTTGTACTCCTGCTCTTGCTGCCCAGCAGAAGAACCACAACTGAATTGATCAGTCATTTACAAGTTTTTTAAAATTTTTATTTTAATATGGCATCACTGTTAGAAATGTAACATTCTCATGGAGCTGAGCAAGTTCAAAAGGATCCTGCAGGAAGACCCAGTTAAAAAAAAAAACGCAAAAAAATGCAAAAAACCCCAAAACCACATTTATTCTCTATGCAAGCTGCCCCCTTGCCTTTGCAAATGCCATGCAAGCCTACCAGAGCATACTGTATCCACACTAGGCTCCTTCCTCACCCCCAGGAGCTTGTTACGAGTGTTGCGCTTCTGGTGAGGCGATTTCTGTCCATCACAAACATTGAACCTGTAAACTGCACCTTCATATCCCATCTCACCAGCCCCTCTTAACAACAACAAAAGGGAGAACAGCCTTATTTTAAGGGATCTCTGCAAGTCCTGTGAACAGCTTGATCTCTGTCACAGCCTGATCAGAAGTTGTAGGGTAAAGTAGAGAGAATGATCCATCTCAGTGGACCAGTTCCCAGCTGTTCAGTGCTTAAGTCCAAATCAAATCTGTTACTGCTGGGTTTGGGGGCACGCTGTACTATGCTTTCTGTCCCTTCTAGGGCCAGCCAAGCCAGAGGTGATTTATGTGAGGGAAAAGAATTTGTTCCATGCTCAAGTATGCTTCCAAATCAACGGTGATAGAGCCACACGTGTTCAGACTCAATGACCTACCTAAGCCAGGGCTCTGCCTGACAGCAACGGCTGCTCAGGAACATCCAATATAGAGAAATCCTGCTCCTGCTCCAGATGGTTCCCTGGGGACTTCCTGAGCAATAGCGCACATCTGGACTGCTGAGTTTGATAGCCCCCAAAGAACCCACCCTTCAATAGACACATGCAACACAGTCACCAACACTACGAAAGCATAACACCCAAGTGCTGGGAAGAGGACATTCAGACTGGCTGGAAACAATGCTTTATTTTACTATCTACTTAAACAATTAAGCAACAACTCTTGAAATAACTGAAAGATTAAAAGCTGTCACTATTCACTAGTTAAGTTAAACCAAAATCACATCCAGCCCACCCACCCTGGCTAACTCTAACATGGGAAGTGTTGGTCTATGGGGCCACAATTAATCTTTAGGTCTCTAATCCCTCTGAAACAGCACAAGTTACACACGAGAACTTAAAAAAACTTCCAGTAATTTGCCTGTCATCTTCTGAAATGACAGCTCTTATTTGGGTTTAAATACTGCTGTTTGCATTACGAGTGTATAATAGCTGATATTACCACTCTGGAGATGATCTCCCACTACCACAGTCACCTGCCTGTGTGTGTGGGTACATCCAGATCAGCTGGCAGATAGAGATGGCTGCTGGAAGAGCACCTGCGCCAGCACGGGCCAGGCTCAGGCCAGGATCCTGGGCATGCACGGGGCAGTAACACTGCCCATGGGACATAGTTGCAGCCACCCACGGCGGGAGGAGGCCTGGGAGCAGACACCAACAGTCGAACAGCAGAAGGTGTGCACATGTGGGCATGATGCTTCGCCCACTCAGTGCGGAGGACTCAGCACCAACCCTCACCCAACCGAGAAGAGGATCTTGCATGCTCTGCTGTTCTTCTTCAGAGGAAGGGCAGAACATGGTGTTTTTTCCAAATGCATATGATAACCTGCAACACCCAGCTGCAGCGCCACAGGCCAGAGACCCTCAACAGCAAACAGGACAGATGGCTCTGTCCTGGGCCTGCTGGACACACAACCACTCTCTGATGTTGAAAGTCTGCCTAAGCTTCCACTTTTTAATCACACTGAAGTGTGTAAACCAGACAGCAATGCAGGCTAATCACCACTGGAAAAGTTAAAAAGAAACAAAACATTTTTAACTAGAGTGAGAACAGACAGGAACGCATCTTCTGTACAAAATCATTTTTGGGGCAGGTCTGCAGGAATGGGCTGGATTTCACAAGCCAAGTAACCCACTCTGAAAGGGGTCACAAACCGTCTTCCTCTGCAGCATGCTGAACCCCTACAGCTACCCTTTGCTTAAAAATACAAAGCCAAGAACTAAAGAATGATTCCCTCGCAGAACAAAGTTATCTGCTTTGGAAATAAAACAACTGTCCTGGAGATCAATAGGATCCTGGTGAAGCTTGGGAGAAGCAAGGAGATGATCCTGCACTCTCCAGCCACTGCCTTTAGCTCAGGCCCTGGGAAGCCCAAGAGGGCAGTGGCTTTGGGGCCTAGGCTAAGCTTCATGCTCCTCTTCTGCACCCATGGCTGATGGGAGCATGGCTTCCTCTCCAAACAGCTTGTCATGACTGCTCAGTGCTCCGCTCTGTCCTCTAAGCCCTGCCTCAGCTTCCTCCTCTGCAGCTGGGAATGCACAGGGAAGCAACAGAGCACTGTTAGAGACATGCACATGCTTATTCTCTAGACTGATGCCAAAAAAAGCAGTAACAGACTGTCCTGTAGGCTCTTGGGTTGGCTGCGAGATAGTCAAGTACTAAGAGCAACAGATCTACTCTCACAGAGGTTATCATCTTGGAAGGCTAGCCCTCCAAGGGAAGTTACAGGCACGCACGGACCAACTGTACCTTCCTTCTGCCTCTTGAAGCCAGTTCAGAAAGGAAAATGTAAAATTAGAAAGGGATATAAGTGATGCTGGTTACGGATTTTCAAGTCTGGCAGCCTCATCAGTGCGCTTAGGCCCCACTGTCTGTGATGGGGCTTCCAGCCCCAACACTTCTGCAGAATTACATCTTAGGCACTTATGCATGGGCTGCTCCCAGTGAGAGCTCTTGCAGAGGAAAATGGCTAACCTCTGACAACAGGGAACGCATCTGGCAAGTCCTCTTCTCTCCTGCTTCTGCACTTAGAAAGGACCTAGCAATCAAGTACGTGCTTGAGGATCCCTCCTTTCAAAAAGCCTCCACTAAGCTGTGAGGGAAAGGCCTGGCCTTGGTCAGATTCTAGCACAAAAGTCTGCAGGATGTAAGAAGAGAGCAAAGGACAGAGCTCTGCAGGTCACCCAGCTGGCACTGGGACATTAGTTCTATTAGAAAAGGTTATAAATTACCCGACTGTCACCAGTGAATCAGCACTTGGAAATAGATCTATTTCACTTTGATGAGGCTCCCTTCATCTTGGCAGGCTCCACCTCTGACCCACCTACATATCCTTTTGGCTGAACATCTGAACAGCCACCCTGTTGGGGACTGTTGCTCAAGGATGTCATACAGCACAGAGCAAAGCGCTGGCCTAGCGAGTTGGGCTCAAAGCAGCCTCTCTCCTTCTCCCCTTGGAAAGCACTGCCTGGGAAGCCAACCTTATTTCAAGTTGCTGCCCAAAGAAATTTTGAGCATTGGGTACAATTTGAGGCTTGTTACAATTCAAGGCCTGACATTTTATTCTTCCATGATAGTGCTTCAGAAAAGCAACTTCTGCCCAACCAGGAAACCAAGAGAAAAACAAGGTCTTCAGGTGCAGGATTTGGTTAAACCAGACCTTGCTTTTACTTGGGTCCACAGAAGCCCACCAGGCCATCATTAAGGAAACACTAAAGCAGTTTGGTTAGTCTTGAACTACAGAAACTAAGGCTTTCTTTATCACAAGGAAAGGTCAGTCACAGGTACCTCTAATTACACTGTGGTAAAGTAAATCAGCATCCTTACAAACAGCACTTGAAACCTTCCCTCCAAAACAAACTAGGCTGGAGCAATTAACCTAGAAATTCATGTCCTGTTGATGTAGGCAGTGAGAACGCAGGCAGAAAGACAAAGAAACTGCTGCCTTGATCATGCAGTACCGCTGCTGCAATGACTGTAAAGCTGAGCAGTCTTTGTCTTTAGTCTTACCACAGACATGCCCTTCAGCCTTCTGCTCACAAGCTACATTGCTTACAGGTACAGAGAGGCCAAAGAAGGAAAGCTACTTGATTACCACCACTTTGTAAGAACTGCATGGTTAAAACCACACACGCCCCTGTACTTACTAGTTGGCTTACCTTAAAACAACAGGAAATCCCTAATAAAGAAAGAAGCAGTTCTGTAACCAGATAGTTACCAAGACTGGAGCAGAAAAAAGGTCTCAGTATAAGGCTACAAGCACGCTTCTTCCCCAGATGTGCCATCTACTCTGAACACTGAGTCATTTTAGGGCTCTGCTCCAAAATAACTCAGTCTAGCAAAACTGGCCAAAAGAATTAAATGTGCTAAACAACAGAGTCCACAAGGAGCAAGCTATTACTGGATGAAGGAAGGAAACTGGCATATGGGTAACACACAGGAAGGGGCATCCTGGTTGATCAAATAAAGGACCAAGGCATCCGGAGCATCATAGCTCACTCACTATGCGTCACTCACACCACTTAATAATCAATAATCTCCTCCACTGCTGAAAGGATTATTCAGACCTCGAGGCCTTTCCTAAAAAGCTTTAAACAGACAAAAAAAAAAGCCACTTCTGCCCTACCCAACCCAGCATCCTTCTCTCCTACCTGGTACTGTGAAGTCCTGAGTGTAGATGATATCATCTTCAATGTCATACAAGTCATCATCTTCTTCCTCATTGTAGCCATGCAGATCTTCCAGATAAGGCACCGCCGTCATACTTCTCCACCTGTCCTTTGTTTCTGGGCTGGGAGGTATGGGCACCAGAGCCTCTGCCTGAGCATGTTTCTTACGAAACCAACTGCAAAGAGTCCAAGAGCAGAGTTTCATCAGTACAGCTTCGCTTTTCAGAAGGCATAGAGAAATCCCTGGCACTATGAGATGGCCCCATTCCATCCCAATATTCAAAGGTATGTGCAGTTTGTTTATGGAAAACTTCCTGGCCAGTTTTATGCCACTGCAGGTTTTTTAATGCGTCATAACAAAGAGAGGCAAGTGTCAAGAAAGGCAAGTCTGTCTTGCTGATCACACTGCAGGGACACCAACAGCCATGTATGCCACTCCACAAGATGCTCCATCCACTGGGTGCTTTGTCAGCTAAGGAGAAACTAACAGTCTGCCCAGCTGTTAGCATACTGAAGTCTGCTGCAAGACACACTGGAGTGCAAGACATCTACAGAAGGGCAGCTCAGGGTCTGGAAACAGAGTGCAGGAACATTTTCTCCATCACCAACTCAAGCCAAAACTACCTACATTAGCAGAGCTGCTAGAGCTCTTGAGTTGTATTGTCAAAGCAAGCAGCAAAGGAGAAACTTCTAGCCTAAAGTTGAGGCTAATCAAACACAAGAGAAAAGAAAGTTTGCAGAATGTTGGTCCAAGGGGAGTGGTATTTACTCGCAAGCTCCTTTAACAGGCAGTTTTCAACAAGACCACAGCAAAAATGCTTATACTCTATCTTTTTATCCCACCTCTGCCTCAAGGGACTTCTATTACCATTAGAAAAAGTAGACATAGTGCTACCACCTGCCCAGTAAAGGGTATCAGCTCTGAAAGCTGTTCTTAATCAGATCAAAAATCCAACAGGTTTGCATCACATCAGCATCTCAGAAGCCACATGGGTGGCCTCTTACATTTTTATCACACTTTCATAGTGTGGTTCCAACACCAGACTGTCTCTGGGACATCTATCACCACTGCATGTGGGCACCGAAAGTTTCCTAGAAGTACTGCTGGAGCCTCCGCACTCCTAGCGATCATCTCCTGAACGCAGGTGGGAACAGAAGTTCCTCCAGACCTAGGTACTTCTAACATGCATTTCCAGCCTCCACACACCTCCTGCTACTCCTTGTTCCCCCTGCAACATGTCCTGCAGCAAGGAGAATCAGCTGCCTGTGGCTAGCAAATGAAAAGGTCAGGCGATAGCCATCCATTGCTCCCTCCTGGATAAATGGTAGTGTTCTGCTACTTTTGAAGGTGGTGTGCCAAGCAGCTGGCTGTCCCTGCTAGCAGAAAGGCTGTCCTACAGAGGCACTTCATCAGGCTGTTACTTACACCATACCCTGGAGGGTCATTCTACACAAAGGGTCAGAAAGCATCAAAACCTCCCACATGTAGGACAATCTTGTGAACTGCAGCCTTCTTTCCTGATAAACTTTTGAATTGGCACTGATATCAACCCCCTATTTTTATGCTGTGGGCTGGATGTCTGTTAAGCCACTGGAACCTATTCTTCCTGGTCTTTGCACAGTAACAAAGGAAAGAAAAACCTCACCAGATCAACTGCACTCTTGTGCTCATCTTGCTAAATATTATGTAGATGCCACTTACCTGCACAAAGGGACATTCAGAGTCTTTCACAGCAGGAGGCAGCCTATAAAATCTAAGCTCCCCCCACACTTTGAAAGTTTACTTTAGGCTACAAAAGGGTGCTGCTTTAGGAAGCAACTTAAGGGCTCTCTGAAAACACACCTCTCAAAAACAGAGCAAGATCTAAAATTATGCCCTCATGACATACTTCTTGGCCTGGGGATTGCTGCCCTAAACAAGCCTCATGTGACATGAGTGCTTCCCCCTCCATAGTTTGCACAGGCATCCAGTAACTTCTGGCTAATAACCATTGAGGAGGGCCCAAAGCCAGTCACCAAAGAGCTCTTACAAACCTAAGCCATCTGTTTTTTATCACTCCAGTTCCAAATTCATTTTAGGAAGTGAGGGTTGGATGCACCTCCTGCACAGAACTGTAATTATAATTTTGTTCTAGTCTTACATTGCTTTGACAGTAGGCCTGGAAAAAAAAAGTGGCATTCTAGCAAAACTATCCAGCAAAAGCAAGGAGTTAGGAGATAAACAAATGAAAATGTAGCTATTGGGACAAATCAGCTAGGATTCAAAGGAGGAGTGAACCGTTATCCAGAAACCCTGCTTCACAATTAGCATCTTTGAACTGTTTTCTCTGTAGTGATTGAGTTTTAAAGTCAGTCTCCTGCTCTGGAGAAAAGTGACAGAGAACTAAATGCAGATCTAATTTGTCAAGTATGACCTCCGGTTCATGAAGTAGCATTACAAGAGTTAAGTAAAAGGTCATCCCAGCTACTGGACTAGCAGGACATGAGCAGGTCCAACACAACTAGATTTTGGCCAACAGTTTTAGCAAATCCTGTAGATGGCTTCCTTGGTGGTGGGCATGGCACACAGCACTCCTAATCTGATCATTTGATTTCCCTTCCTTGGGAGACTGCTTTCATCAAGAAAGTGACTGCCAAAATAGCAAATTCAGCCCAGGCTGATCCAGCCTGGCAGGATCATCTAGTACAGGAACAGAAGAGCCAACACAGCCACCAGCTATTTTTGCCAGGGGCACTGGAGCTAGAGGGATCCAAACTAAACACCAGGGACCTAAGGAGAATGGAATATACAGGGCAAATGAGATCAGAATGACTGCTAACAAAAGGAGTATTTTAAAGGGAGAAAGCCTAGAAGTCTATAGCAACTCGTGTTTTTATTTTGCTGTATTTCAGCTCTGTCTCTTTCTTTCCTTCTGTCCTACTTACCAGGAGAGTAAAAATAGGTTTTTATTAACAGCAGAAACCTGAATCACTGTACTCTAGTCATAATGATTCCATCCTCTGGGAGGTGATTTCAAATACTTGCATATGCAGATATGGTAATGAGGATATAGACTGAGGAGAGAAATTCATTGAAGTTCTAAGAAAAATCAAAGACCTCTTAGAAGGAGCCTCAAGCAATTCTGTATGGAGTAGCAGAGTATTTCCTGGCAAGCAATTTTCCAGCAGGGACAGATATTCTGCTTTCTGCACTGGTGCTAAATGTTATTAGTGAAGATGTGCTCTTCAGCTGAGGACCACTGGCTCCATCAAATGCCCTGATCTGGCTCAAGAAGCTACTGGCCACTGACTAAGCCAGAAAGCAGCTACTCTCCCACAGCACAACTCTCCCATCAGTCAGCGATGCAGATGAGATAAAGTCCCTCCTCACTCTGCCTTCACCACTGACCCTAAAACACAGGCTGGATTAGAGTACTGCTGACAGAGTGCCCTATTTCACCATTTATTCCCAGTTTCACTGATGTTTTCTGAGCCAACTACACTGGCACAAACATAGCCATTTACCTGGTGCTCACAGACTGCTGCTTTAACACTAAGGGAAAACAAAAGCTTTTGCAGATCTCAAAAGTGTCCCTTGTCCAGAAAATCCCCTGGGAGAGGCAGATTCCTCTCTTGTCTGCGAAATGTTTCTTGGCCAGTCCCAGCCCTTTGAAACAGAGTGGAGGGAGCAGTAGGAAGAGATTGTTTCTTTCTACTTTACAAGGTTGTTAAGCATGCCTGCAAAGCATGGAAACTCCAGACAGCAGCAGCAGAAGTATTAATTGTGATCCTGCCAGTTAAGAATTAGTGTCCAGACAGGTTTCTATAATCTACAGGGAGATAAGACAGCAAGGGCCAAGGACTGAATGAAAAAAGGAATCTGGGTTGACCAATGCTTGATAAGCCCATCTAATATGCAGCTCCCAAGCTCGAATTTTACATCAGAAGTCATCACTCTGCTCTTTTCAAGTTCTGGTATAAGCAAGGTTAAAATAGGAATCAGTAAGCACAGCTGCAGCTTCCAAATACTTACAGCTAATTCACTTCCCATTCTAGGTCACAAATATTTTAGTTTGCTTGTTTTGTATATGGGCAATTTTCTTTGAAACCAGATGCCAAGCTGCAGATCACCACCCTGCCAACAAGCATTGGTTATGAATGATTCTCCACCTCCCATGATACCATGTAAGGGCTTCAAGCTTACTGGAAGGTCACCGTCACCACGAGAAGCAACTAACAGCATTCCAGTTTAATTCAGTCCTGTTGCAGACAAACGTGGAAGGCACACAACAGTATGCCCTGGGGAAAGGCAACACAGGCTAGCAATAAATATATAGCAGCATCCCTGCAATCACTGCTCCAACTCCTGTAGTGTCAAGAGATGTCTAAGTTAAGTCAGGTTCATAAAAAAATAGAAATGCGTAAGAAAGAGAAGCAGTTTTCCTCTAGTTGATGCTAGGACCAAAGGTGATAGTTCAGACTCCTATGAGGAGAGGTGTTCTATGCAGATGGAGACTCACATTCATTTAACACCCCATACGCAGTTGCATTATGAAACTGATTTGCAGAACGTGGGTAGAAGAACCAAAGATTCCTTCCATGTGCCTGCCACAGGAAAGGAAGGCAGACCCAGGTACCTCGGCAAGAAAGGAGAGGAGGAGAGCTTTTGTGTGTGTGTCCCACCAAGGGCAGATTACTGCCTAACACCACAAAGAAGGGATGGTAAAAGCCCATGAGTATACATGCCGCAGCAGAGGTAAAGGGAAACCCCTCTCACTCCCTCAGATTCAGGCACCGAAGTCAAGGAGCATGCTCAGCACCTGCAAAGGAATCTACAGTGGCAACACACACAGATTTCCAATGGCTTTGGTACCCAGGGTTTGCACAGCATGGCACAGCATCCAACAGCTACCCTCCAAGCCTCTCAGGGAAGACTCTGGGGTGAGCAAAAGCACCTGGGAAGGTGGCACGGCAGCCTCCAGGAGGTCAGTGGAAGACACTAGGCCAGCAGGTTAATTTGCACCTCCACTAATAAAAGGTGGAAGTGCCTTCCCTTTCTTGCATAAACTCTTGCAATGGTATCTATGACTGAACAAATTAAGTGTGACACTTCTGGAGAAGGCAGGCAAGATGGTTGCCTTGGAAACAAGGGACAGAGGTAGAATTCTGCATCCACTTCATCACTTTAAGTGCTGCAGCAGGGTCAGTGAATTAGTTACAAAATGCAGTGTACAAGCATTAAGCCCTTCAGCAAAAGCACAGGGTAGAGAGGAGATGGTGACTAATCTATGGGGAGCAGGCTGCTAACTCCCTGGCTCTTGGCAGCTTTTCTTCACTGCCCCACACCCCCGCCCCATGAGTACAAAATATTCAGAGGTGAACTAAAAGTGTCAGTTTTCCATTGAACATCATCCTATCCAGATCCTTCTGGGAAGAGCAGGTTTCAAGGCTCTTTCATTGTTATTCAGGGGTGGGCTTCTGGCAGTTCATAAACTCTTAGATGACAGGCTGAGAGAGTTTTAATTCATTTCAATTTACAACTCATAGGTCTGCACTGCAGAGATTGACTAGGTTTGAAAAGCCTCTGAAAGCAAAGAAGAAAAGAATTTAACTTTTTCCTGCTGAATTAAAACGAAGTACAGAAACATGAGTTTGATACAAGAGTTTACCTATAGAAGTGAGGAGAGGAAGAAGGCAGCTGGCAGGTATAAAACTAAGCAGACTCTTCCTACAGCATTCTTCAGACAGGGCTGCCGCTACAGGGGGGAAAAGCATTTGGAGCAGCTGGCAAGAATAAAGGGAGGAATGGCAGAATTACCATTGCTGGGCAATAAACATGTGCCTGGCTGCCTTCTCTGCCTCCTGCAGCTCTATATGCTGCACGGAGCAACACTCAATACTTCTCAGTGTTTCCCCTGACCCACTGATTAAGCCTTTTATCCTTGATCCCACTACAAGAGCAAGAAACATCACTTTATGGAAGGTGAAATGCAAACTGTTTATCCAGTTCTGGGTGGATCCTGAGCACCCAGCTCCATGGCTGCAGGACACCTGCTCTGTGATGTTTCCCTTGGGATCACCCTTCCCCACAGGACAGAGGAACATGGCCCCTTCCCATCGCGCTGACACGAGCCTGGTCTAGCAGTGTTTGGCTCCAATGCAAAAAAACACTGCCCAGGACATGGGGGCTATTCCTCTTGATTTTCAGTGCACTTTGATAATCTCAACTGTCCATATGAGCAAGTCACCAGTAACATCAGCTCAAAGACATAAAAGGAGACTTCCAGCAGCACAGAAAGGCACTGGGTAATTCTGGTTTGAGCCAGTATCCATCTCAGCAGGGCAGCCCGGGTAAGTCGCTTAATGTTTCTATAGTCTAGTTCCTGTGCCTTAACACATGCTTTTGTGGGAGGAGTGTAGAGAAACCCAAAATCATTAATGACTATTACTCCCCCACACACTAGAAATCCAAGGATTCTAGAAATCAAGTCTTTTCTTACTAAAATGCTTTCCAAAAAAACCCTTCGACAATATCTGAATGGCTACCTGCTGTCCTTCCGATTGCTTTGTTCAATATTAAAATAAAATCAGGGTCAGGTTAAGCATAAGGACTAAGCTTCTCTTCTATTTAAAGAAAAGCCAAGAGAACCAAACACTGGATTCTTTAGCACAATGCTACTCTACAAAAAGGAGATGGACAGACACATCCAAAGCCCAAGGCTGCAAGCTCTGCTGTGCTTGATGTAATTATTAGGATGCCACAGCAGGAGGAAGGAGGCAATTACTAATAGGGGAGAAAAGCCTGTTAAGAAGCACTGGCTAAGCTCACAGAAAACTAATAAGAGACTAAGCCTTGGAAACGCTCCTGTGTTTGCAGGTAGAGTCTTTCTTCCAGCACTCTCAGTGCTATGAGATGAAAAGCCTCACCACCAGCAGCTGTGCCCAATTAGAGGGCAGGCTATGCCTATAGTGCATGGGAGATTTGCGACTGCCCTCCATGCCAGAAGCATGCTCTAGTTTCTCCTGCTTTCTAACTACAGGCAGGGTCTCTAGAGAAACCTCTTTGCTTCCAGCTGGGCAAAGCTGACACAAAAACTCACTGCCACATGGGAGAAGTATAAAATCAAGTATATAGAGTTGGATAACTAGCTCAAATACCTAGCAGATAGTGACACATGAGAACCAACTACACTGCCCCAAAGCTTAGGGGCAGTTCACTGCAGCCTTTGGACCCACAACACTGATAGCAGAGAAAGTCCTTTCAGTGCTTTTCTCAACACCTACTAATGTACTCTTTACAGCGCTTACTGACCAAGCATCGGTTTGACTGTGTGGCAAGCTGATCACCACCCTAGAACTAGCTGCCTTGAAGCGCTCTAGTCCTCAGTGGTAGAGGGGAGGACAGTCAGTAACAGCAGGAGCTATTGTTTTGAAGACCAGCTCTATATGGTGCTTTAAATGCCACGCAGCATTTAACAGGCCAGCCCCAAGCAGTCTCTTTTACGGCCCAGTATTATTGGGAGGCATGTGCATGGGGAAAGGCAGTCCTGAAAAGCAAATGCCTGCTCCTATCATCTCCCAGACCCAGTGAAAGAACCAATGCACAGTGCTTGGCTACTATTAAAAGCGCCAGCCTGACTGCTTAATTAATATCAGGCAGCTACATAAGACCTGCCTCCCCAACCTCTTTGATCTTCATCAGGGGTAGGTCGCAGTTGCTCCTCTGCAGAACACCAGTGCAGTTCAAGCCTGTCAGGTTTTGTTCTGTGGCTCCTGCAGATGCCTTCCATGCCATAACATCTACCAGGGATCATCATCTGACAGCACATGGCTACCATTGCTGGTTTTTTTCCAGAGAAAAAAAGAAAATAGCACTCTTCCTGCCTGCAGGCAGCACAAAGCAGGCCCATCACCTTCCAGGATCAGAGCTTTGTTTTTACAAGGTTCCCAAAAGCTTTCTGGGCAAGCTTGTAGGCAGGACCTCTGCTGAGCAGCTGTGGTCCAGCAGGCAGCTCTGCGTGTCCTCAGAAGCACTTCCTATTCAAATAGGAGATAAGCTAATGCAGCCTCCACGACGAAGCATCCTTATGATGCTTTTTGTTCTTGTACTTTTATCCGCCCAGGAAATCTCTGCTCAGAGGCAGCATGTTCAAACAGACCCTTTAAAAAAAAAAAAAAACAAAACCCAAAAAAACCCCCTCAGAGATAACGGGGCCTTTCCTCCCCTCAGACAATAGCAAGGATAAAGGGGGAGGATATGGATGAGGGAGGAATATGACATTAAAGAGAAAGAAAAAAAATTTCCTATTGTCCTGGAACACTTCTCCACATACTGATTCCATATGGAGCAAATACCAAGGGATATTTCTGTCACCAGACTGTCCAGAAAACCAGAACTAACACACATTACTAAACAGTCCTAGTTCAATAACCCAGCCTTCAGGAACCCCTGTTCTTCTGCTCCATTAGTACTAGCTGACCTCTGAAAAAAATTATCCAGAACCCTTAATTCTCAAGAACCAGTCATGCTAGAAACATATTTTCAACATATTCATTATTTACTGGTTAGCAATTCAAATGCTTTAACCGGATGCTCTAGTAGGAGGAAAAAAGCCAAGTAGAGGTTGCCAGAGCTCCAGCAGAGCTGGAGGAAGGATATCTAGTGACTTCCATGTGTCTGCTGTCAAAAGGAAAAATGAGTTGAGAGCAATAGCACAGGTACATTAGCATAAGAAGCAGAAAGAGAATGACTAATAGGAAGAAGCTGAACACTCACTTGTGCTGCCTTATCTGCTGTATTGAAAATCTCTTGGCTGGGTCGTATTCAAGCATCCCTGAAAAGAAGGAAAAAAAGTCCAGGTGTGATCACAGATGCTCTCAGCCAAGTTGAAGACAGGAAGCATAAAGCTCTACCCTTCCCTCCCACCTCCCTCCCCCAACAGTGACTGGTGTGTCCAGTCCTCCTGGCAGCTTAGGGAGCCTTTACTTCCAGGAAGAATCTGCTGCATTGGTCACAGGAAGCTCAGCACAAAATCCCAACTCCATTGCTGACTACCTGATCAAGTCTGCTCCTCAGTTTCCCCACCTGCAAAGTGGATATGACCTTTCCCTCCTTCACACTGCAGGGACAGAGGCTTGTACAGCCCTGGATCATATGTCCAAGCACGTCTCCAGGCAAAGAGCATCAAGACTTTGCATTTCACAGATAATGCTATTGAACTTTCTCCATGGAAGAGTCAAAGCCTTAGGCATAGCATATATGCAGTTATTCAGCATCCCTGAAAGTCTAGTCTAGTGAAATTCTATTCTGGAAGTACATCTGGGGAGAACCGACAAAAAAAATAATCCTACTGTCCATCCTTTTGCCCTAGCCAGGAGTTTGATTTCTGGCATCATCTGCTAAGATAGCTGGGGTGGGGGTGAGAAGAGGGGTGGGAGAGGAAGAATAGCTTATCTGTATTCTCTCTAGGAAAGAGGGAGGTGGATACCTTAAACAGACTCATGAGATGCCCACTCTGCTCCACTGTCTTCAAAAAGCTTCACAACTTAACAGAAGGGAAGTAGCAAATTTTGCCATATTCTTCAGAAACTAGCCAATGGGACCTAACAAGTCTCAAACAGCAGCATCCAAGGTATTATCCAATGAAGGTTCCGAGAATATATTAATCTAACGAATGTTAACAAAGTCTCGCTGCTGTACATTACAAGGAGTTTTGCTTTTACTGGATGATACCCCCTTGTTGCTCTTGAAGCACTAGCACTGTTGAGTCTTGCACAGGTAGCACGAAGAGTAAGGTTTTGGAAAGAGGTAAGAGAACAGGAGGATCCCATCTCCAGCAACCCGAAGAAAAGAAAGGCTAGGAAGCAGAACAGACTGTCAAGCAGGAGTTAAGAAAGTCAGGACAAGGAGCAAACAGTGCAGAGTGCTGGGGAGAGCCAGTACAAGGACAGTGAAAACACAAGGATGGGAGATACATTTGGATGGACACTTAGGAAGGGAGGGCTGGAAAGAGACATTGGAGTTCAAGTAAGAAGTTGCAAGTGCCTTGCAGATGAGTTTCTGCAATACTGTTGAACAAAGGTAATAGAAGAGATAAATCACCAACAGCACTGTGTGATAACAAAAGCTCATCCAGAACATCTTCCTTGTCAGTTCAGTTTGTATCACATACTAACAGTAATGAATATGGGCAAAAAAAGGTATAGTTTGGAAGGACTAAAGTTATTTTCCCCCCAGAAAGCAAAATACAGTTTGCCATGGCAATTTGTAAAGGTTTATCAGTTCTGATGACAGCACTAATAGCTTTAAGGCAGATGGGGTCACTACTGATGCACATTACATCACTGTGAAGTAGGTTAAAGAATCACAGGAAGACCTCTCCAGGTTTGAGAGGGTCAAGTGCATCACAGGCATCTGGCCTCATGAACTGAAGGCACTAGAGTCTTCAGAGCACTTTAGACAGAGCACACCGGAAATTTATACCTGCCTTGCCGAAACCATACAAACCACCATACATATACTAGAGGTACATGGCTGAGCTCGACTGGAGCTACAGCAAGAGCTCCCTGCTCAAGAGCTCTAAACCTCGATAGTAGTTCCTCATCTCTGGTATCTTCTCCCCCAAATAGGCTAAAGTCCTATAAACAAGCAACCAGCAGCCCAGGCTGCAGCTACAGACCAAAACCATATGTGGCAGGAGGTGATTAATGCCAGCGACAGTGCCAAAAGCTGAACAGCTCAGCTGCTAGGTCTGCTACCGCGGAACACCACTGAAAGCATATTTTGAGATGGTCTCACAGTAAGGGTGAGAGAAGGGAAGATATGGTTGAACCATCTTCAGCAGAAAAGGGATTTGATCCCAAATCTTGCTGTCCTGCAAAGTGCTGCAACACCTGTAATACAACATTTAGGTGCTTTTGCAGGGCTAATTCCAAATTGTTTCCTCACCTTAGCTGTTGTTAATGAACTGGTGCTGGAGAAGGCCCTCCTTTTTTCACTGAGTACTATGCAACAAACTCCCTTACAGTTAAAAAAAGATAATTATCAGTTTAACACTGAACATAGCCTTTATCAGGGACTTTCTCCACAACAAGGGTCCTTGCAATGTGCATTTCTCCTTTCTTCTGTACTCCAGCACACGTCCCTAGCAGTCCCTGCAGCCTTCTCAGAACCACAGAACAGCTGAGGTTGGAAGGGACCTCTGGAGATCACCTAGTGCAAACCTCTTGCTCAAAGCAGGGTCAGCTTGCCCAGGACTATGTCCAGCTGGGTTCTGAACATCTGAGGGTGGAAACTCTACAACCCCCTATGCAACCTGTTCCAGTGCTCACCCAGCCTTGCAGTAAAGGAGTTCTCACATTCAGATGGAATTTCTCCTCACCTTACAAGAAAAGAAATAATAATTGGAAAACAAGATGGGAAGGTGGTTCAGAGAAAAAAAATCCCCCACCTAATTAAATAACCTATTAATAAGATTATTAGACAGTAGTTTCACAGCTGAGCTGCCCCGATGTGTTGGCTTTTTTTTTTTTTTTAAAAAACAAAATAGGACTGCAAAGAGATCTTACATGAAGTCTAGGGGTCACCAAAGCATGTATTGGCTAGGTTATCTTATTAAAGCAATCAGAAACAGGTAAGTCAGGACTCCACCCCATCCCCCCCCAATTTATTTATTTAAAGACCACATTTCAAGGCATTTTTGGAATCCAGCTTGTTATTATCAAGTTCGGGATAAACTTCTGCACATCCAAGCAGATACAACTAGAAACACTTCATAGAAATCTGAAGTACAGTGGGACTGTTCCAAGGTTCTTGCACTTTCAGTTTAGGATTAATTTCACTAGGGTGCTGCAGAAGAGGAGTTGGAGCACCCTCATAAGCAGCTCACTTTGACCAAAGGGAAAAAATAAATGTGCAGCAATTCAAATACTGTTTAAGGAATGACAGGGCTAACAAAGAAATTTAAGGCATTTACCAGATTAAACTGGTACAAGCAGAGGATAAAATTCTAAAGTAAATTATTAGAAGAGGCCTAACAGGACCAGTTACAAATAGCTATGGTGCAGAGAGCTGCATTGTTCTCAAGCAATTAAAAAGGCATAAGGAAGATAATTGACCAAAAAGAGTATTTACTTTAATGAAAAAGGACTGTATTTTGGGCAATGTTTGAAAGAAAATGGAAAGTCCAATCTCTGAAAACGTGCACTCATGCATTCAGCTCTGTGACTCACTCATGGCAGCTCTATGGCTGAAGTCCTGTACTGAAAAGAAACTTCAAGACAAAACATCATGTACTGTTCACCAGTCAAGTCATCTAAGAGCATCTGCCCACAGTAACCACACATACTCTCTACCATTTACGGTAAAGATTTCCATGCAGTTTATCTGCGAATAAAGATGAGACACACTGTAACAGGGCGATTCTTCAGGAGGACGCCTAACTCACAAACCTCTGCTCTCGTGGTATTTTAGAAGGATTCACTCTGCCCATACATGGGATATTGTGCCCATTATGGCATGCCAGCAGTCTCAAACGCCTTTCAAATTACATCAAGTGGCAATCCAGAAACTGGAGACCACAAACCTGTCTTCAGCTCCTTAGACTCCAGCCCACACACTTCAATAATCCTGAACAAGCATAGCATTACATCATGTGGTAGAATATCTAGTTTTTAGCAGACAGCACAATCTTAGGTATGTTGTTTGAGAAGCAGGAAGAAATCTAACAGCAAGAGTTAAACTCAACCTGGATTTCACTTCAGAGTCTCCAACTTGGATCAACATTTAAAACAACCAATATAAAAGCAGTATAAGTCCAATTTGTAAAATGAGATGGGACTTTTTCCCCTCTCCTTCATCCTCCACAAGCATAGCCAGGCGTTCTGACCAGAAACTCCCTCTGCAGGCAAATCTTGAGTCTTTGATCAAACACGTGTGGAAGACTTGCCACTGGATGGGTTATAGACACCAGCCTGCCTGACTGTTGGCTCCGGGGACTCCCTGCTACCACAGAATTAAAGCATCCCACTGTCATCAGAATGCACATCCTCTCACCATCCCTGTAATAAAGGTCATGGCAGTTACACAGAAGTGAGAAAACAAAATGCTGAGAAACTAACCAGCTTGTCCCCAGTCACAAAGTCTGTAGCAGAGCCTGGAAATCAATCCAGATGCTTAATGCAGAGACTGCAGTCTCAGAGCTTTCTCTTTCAGTAAAAGTATATTAGTAAAGGAGGAAGAAAAGCTGACCTTGTGCATTTTTCTTTTCCAGAAGCAAACTGCATACAAGTTGATAAGTCATATGCAGTCTGTGGTGACAGAAGAACCTTAAGGCTCTTTATAAATGCTTCTACTCTGACACATCTTTACTGACTGTACACACAGAAGCCAGAACAGTACTAGCCCTTCTCTTTTCCATCAGTAAAAAGTATAAATAAAGCTTCATCCCTGATTAGGGAGACAAAGAGGAGCAGCATCCCAACTAATCTGTTGAAATACACTGTCATGCAAGTCTCTTTACAAGTCAAATACCACAGAAGCTTTAAGTCCTCTAAACTCTGCTTCTTCTGGAAAGAGGAACAAAGAAATAAAAACAAGCTCAAGGGGGAGAATAAGTAAAAAAAAAAAAAGTAGTCAACAGAAGAACAGAAAAACCTTAAAAAGTGTATTCTAGTGTTTGCTTCACAGCCAGACTGGTACTGTGGACAACACAGCACTTATAGCCAGAGAGGAAATAAGCACTTTGCAGCATACTGAATTCTTCCTTACAATAAAACCAGAACAAATGCTTGCAGCACTGCAGAGTGCTTTAAGAGTCTTTTAAAAGCAATGCAAAGGCGAAACAAAGTCTCTAGTGAGATAGAGCTGAGCTGTGGGTGTCTGTGCCGCTCATATAAAAGCATCAGACAGCCATTGACAATATCTGATCTGCAGGCTTTTGATTCAGTTTCAACCTGCTGCAGAAGTAGCAGGCACCTACCAGGAAATGCAGATGTTCTGGAGGAAAAGCATGAACTAAATAAAGCATTTGGGTTTTGTCACCATAGCTACGTAATATCACCACTGCAAGGCTCAGCCCTTGTCTTCAGCAGATGCTTTGCTATCTGCTGGGCTGCGGAGATGCTCAGGCCTCCACAGAGTAGAGGAAGCCAGGGCAATCCCACTCCATAATTCGGTCACCTCAGCTCCACTGGGTACTCTAACCACTAGAAAAAGTAAAGCATGTCAAACCAAACAAGGAGAATATCAGGAGGTTTTGCCAGCTTTTACTGTGTAACAGGTGGATATGACAAGATGAGGGGTGGGAGTGTTCTCAGGTGGGATGGAGGGAGGATTGTAAAAGGAATCCTTAGCCCTTCCTACCACACTGGAAGACAGGGTCAAGTTGATAGAGAGACAGACATCTCCCCCCGGGGCAAGCTCCTCTGCCTACCAAACACACTCAACTTGCATCTCTGTAGTGCCCAAACACAGAAGGGATGAAGACAGACAGCAGCTAGGATGAAGGAGGCAACTCGGGCTGTAAGAGATGGACAAAGGGCATCAGGTGCAAGGCTCCTCTGTTTAAAATGAGGCAGAAGGGAAAGTAGGAAATTCTGACTCCAGGTCTCATACAGTGGATGGAAAGGGAACAGCAAAGGGAGTTATTCTGCTAATGAAGCGTAAGATTTTAAGCTATCAATATCCTCAGGATAAGAAAAGAGAAACAATTGCCACACTCATTTTCCCTGGGGGACAACACTAAGTGCAGCTGAGAGGCTTATCACAAATCTCAAATGATTTCTGCTGGATGCTTTAGAAGACTGGCTGCCAGTCTAAATGGACCACTGGATTTACTCCGTTTGGGCTCATAAAAAAGGCTGTGTTTTGAGTCAGCATTCACAAATCAAACACCGCATGTAGATCAGGACATCATTCCCTGGGGCAGGGGGATACAACATGAAACACGCATCAGTCAGAAGTGCTGGGCCGTAAGCAGTAGCCACATTAGTCTCAGCAGAACAGCCAAGATACCAGCTGTGCTGAGTGCAATTTGAAGCTATGCCTTATGTCATGTTTCTGAAAGCCGTTAAAGCTAGTTAACGCTTTTTGAAACACATGCAAATAACTTACTTCATAATCAGCACGGGGCACCAGATAAGCTAAAAGAGTCTCCCAGGAGTGGGATTGCAGGGGGTCTGCCATCTCCTCGGTGGCAGGGGGGCCGAGAGGAGCCCCGCCAGCGCAGCAGCGGGCAGAGCCCGGACAGACAGCACCACCTGCCGCCGCACCCGGCATGCGGCCAGCACCCGGCAAGGACGCCCGCGTCCCCAGCACCCCAGCGTCACCAGCACCCCACTGGGCCGTGGCCCGCAGCGGAGGTGGCCCTGCGGGGCAGGGAAGTGAGTCCAGGCTGGAGCTGCAGCTCCTCGCAGCCATCCACGCAGGAGCCAGGAGCCCACAGGCAGCGCAGCCTTTCCTGCGGAGGCATGACTGCTGCCGTTTGTAGCATGAAGTGCAGCCGTAAACTGCTTTGAAATTGTTAACCTTTTGGCTAGCCACAAACTGCAACAGCACTGTGACCACGTAGAGGACACAGCACGGTACACAACCCCCCAGTTCAGCGATAACACCCGTGTTACGAGCAGACCTGATAACGCTTCTGACGGAGGAAGGGAAGCGGACTCAGTTTGCTCACAGTGCCGCACAGCCCTTCACCCACACTGACCTCCTAACCCCGCGTAGCACAAGAACCAGAAGAATAAACTTGAAACAAGACAGCATCATTTCATATTTGAGGTCTGATCTTTCACAAACAGCTGAAGTCAAAGGAGGAGAGCACAAGCCTGTGCTGAGGGCTGGGGAGCACTGCTGCACCAGGCTATTTCACTGCCAATGAGGCAGCAGGAACTGTGGTCAGGATCTCCCACGTGCTAGAATCACATCCTACCTGCTCCCAAATGGGCATCACCAAGTTGGCTGCTACACACAGCATAACTGCTGCCCTGACTATTCAGCTTTCAAAAGTAGAGACTGTTCAACAGTAAACCACAAACTATTGCAAAAAGTGACAGGAAAAACAACAACAACAAAAAAAACCCAGCAAACAAAAGCCACAACCCTCTCCTCCTACCCAGAAAATGCTGCTCCGGTTTCTACCACAGCCCTGTTGTGAAAGTGGGCACCAGTCACTTTGCTCCAATATCCTTGCAGCTCTAAATTTGGGGGGAAGGAGACGACAACTGGGACTGAAGCAAATAAATTCAGAGCAGAGACTGATGAGAAAGGACAGGAGAACCCGAGTACTCAGTATTTTACATTATAGAAAGCTTGGGCAAGGAATTTAATTCAGTGTTCTCGCTTGCAAAACCTCCATCAATGCTATGATGCCATTTTAAATTTAACCTCTTGTGGGCTTTGTCCTCAATTTAAAAGCTTCTCAGAGCACAAGAAACATAACGCAAGAACCAACTCTATAAAGCGTAGTGACACCAACTCATGCAGGGTTTAGATATCTCAAGAAAATACTAGTGTTAAAGATCTTTCAAAGTCTTACAAGTTCATAAGCATAACCTCCCTTTCTAACAGGATCCTATATCTTCACAGGATACTTGGAATGAAGCTCTACCCTGGCACTATGCAAGCTGAGCATTTGTTGCATCTATAAATTTTACCCTTTTAGAGTCAGCTGGGAGACTCACCTCTCAATAAGTCTGAGAGTGGAGGACCACAATCCTCTGGAATTGTGTAGTCACCTTTCCCGATGTTTTCAAATAATTTATAGATATTATCCCCTTCAAAGGGGTATAGACCCGTTGTAATGTTGTATCTGTAAAGGCAGAAGGAGAAGCTGTATGAGAAAAAGCATACAGAACATGTGTTCAGTTCTCATGTGACTACATAAACCAAAAGAAGCCAAGATGAACCTAAAAGATGAGTATTTGACAGTATTTGGAATGCCTCTTTAAACTTAGCCTTCCTTTATCACAGCTTCTTCATTCACACGAGTCAAAACCACCAAGACATCTCCCTGACAGGCTGGGATGGAAGAAACTTAAAAATAAATACTAGAGATCTTTGTGGTTTCTATTATTACAGTAGCTGTGCATCTCGGATGCTGAGAAATGGCTGGCAGAGTTACTCACTGAGAGTAAAGATTACTTTCTTCAGAATTACAAGTACTTCGGGGAACATAAACCCAACCAAAGAAGGGACCAACGCACATACACCCTCCCTGCTCCCCCCAGCAACATACAGAAGAGCAGTGATGACAGCAGATAGCTCAAGACCAAGCTATTTGGGCGCTCGTAATTTTTTATTGCAATTCCTGGATGCTGCATGGGCACTTACAGTGTGACCCCTGCGGACCAGATGTCTACTTTAAAGCCTGAAAAGGTGTCAAGGCCATTGGCAATTTCTGGTGGCTGGAATGCTGGCGACCCTTGGCTCGTTCTGCATGTGTCATCCTCTGCAAATGGATGCAATGCCTGCAGCAGATGAGACTGATTAGTTTCAAACTTCCACGGCAAACAAATTGTAACTGTTAGAAAAGTTTCTCCTGGGAAACAAAAGGGGAAAACTCTGCTACTGAACATCTACTTACATATCATGAGAACATGCCACTACAGCAACTACATGCTAACAGTGATAATTCTTGCACCTCTCCTACCTAGCTAAGACAGTCTTCATATAATAAGGGTAAGGTTATGTAGCTTGCCATTTGACCACACATTTGGGCTTGTCTAAGATTGATGTCTTCCTCTATATGCTTCCTGGATGGAAGTTTTGTGCTGTTATCAACAAAAGTGGTTTGCCAATTACAATAAATATTCAGAGTCACTCTACAGCACTCTGCAAGTTGAACAGAACAGAAGCTGAAATGCACAATAAATCGATTGACACCACAAAGGTGACCTAAATCTAGAATGTCATGCTTCCCCCATTCCTGACTTTGCTGCACTCCTCACATACCTCTGCTACACCTAAATCGGATATTTTTAGTGTCCCATTGGTTGTTAGCAGGAGGTTCCCCGGTTTTATATCCTTGTGGACAATCCCTTGGCTGTGCAAGTATTCTAAGCCGTCTATAAGCTGACAAAAGTACCTGCAGAAAGAGTTAGAGGAAAAAAAAGTCAAGCACTTCCATAGACTAAGACTATATGAACTACTGATAATAAATAAAGCAAAGATTGCTGTTATTGGAAACAAGCCGGAAATGTATTTACATTTGATGAGGAACTTGAGATTGAACTGTGGCGTGTAAGAAACAGCACTTAATCTTCCGACAAAGCCAGAAGTTACCTGCCAGAGCTCTGCAGCAGTGTGCTAACCACTTCAGACTCTGGGCTGCTCCACACCAAAGCCCTCTTCGCAAGTCTGTATTTTGTAAGTGCTGAGCACCACACTGGCACAGGCCTCGTAGTTAATTCTGACACCTGCTTTAGTCTAGACTAAGTTAAGCTAGCAAAAGATGCTCTTTCAGTGGCATAGGTTGCTCTAATGGGGTGTGGGGGGGGAAGTTTCCTTTAGCCAGTAGAAAGGAGTGTTTTCCTGTACTTACTGTCAGAGACTATGGGCAGGCCATTACTATAATGTAACAAGCATTGTGCATTGACAGCCTGGCAACAATTGTGCGTACGAGTTTTTTATCTCACAGTATCAAGAAATAATACTTGACTTAATGTGCCTGTGTTTCACTTACACTATCTGTAATCTCAGTGACCTTTTTTAAACAAAATTAAAATATGACCGTAAAATTACATAGTTACCACAGATTTGCTGGTCTGCACTGATTTGATACACATGACAATCTTACATCTATTTCCAGAATTCTAAGGTTCCTTTACTTGCAGAGTGAAAGGGGCTTCAGCTTATCCTGTCTACTAACTAAACAAGCCAACAGATCATGCTGGATATTGCCAATCCTTAATCCATCCAAAGACCTTTAATCTCTTTTCTGACACTGAACTGTATGGCTTGCCTCCATTTAGGCAGGGCAAGTCCTTACAGATTCCACCACTGCATCCATCTTTGCTGAACGGCAGAGCTGTAGGAAAGGGGCCAGGAAGGGTTGTCATGTATCTCGTGAAGCAAAACAAAAGTAATAGAAAATTCAATAGAAAGATGGTTTATCTTCAAGAATTTAAGGGCTGCCCCTGCCACTACTTCATTAGTTTTTCATTTTTTCCATGGATGTAAAAGATGCAGTTATTACACAAAGCCAGTTTTACTTTAAAGTGTGGCCAGCAGTCTAAGCAACAGAGTAAAATGTGGTCTTGAATTCAAGAGAGCACAGTGGTGAGAGGCTAACGCAGCCTAAGGAACAAAACTGTACTTACCCGTGCGCCTGAAAAACTGGAAACCTCTTTTCCGGGACACTGTCCAGCATTTCCTGCATCCCACACACACAGTACTCCATCACCATATACGTGAAGGCAGAGTTAAGGAAGCTTCAAGGTTAAACACTTCTCAGACAAATGCTGTATGAGGACTGCAGCCCCATTCCAGTGCAACTGGAGAGCTGCTGCACATGCAGTCCTGTCACCTGGTGTACACACACTGGAGAGGTAGAGCCCCAGCTGTGCTGCACCTCCTCAGGTAGCTACCTTCCTCCAACTGTCTAACAGGAGGAGGCAAAGAACCCATGAGAAAATTCTTCTGCTTAATGACCAGCTGCAACTCTGTGACCTGACCTCAAACAGGATGCAAACTCCACAAATTAAGTTGGAGATCTCACAAGCCTGACAGAAATAGGATAATACTCTGAAGTGGCTACAAAAAGTTAGGTAACCCTGGCAGAAGAGCTGCAGACTGTAGCATATTCTCCCAATATCCTCTCTGTTCTGCACTTGACATAACAGTGAGCTCCCACCACCTTCCCCAAATTTTGTTATTCATGTCCTGTTTCAAACTGATACAGCTGTATGCGCTATTTAACAGCTGCTGCTTACCCCCATCCCCATGGTAGTATTTCAGTAGCAGGAGAAAGGATCCCTAGAGAGCTGGGAAGCTTTTTTTGAAATTGCATGGATAAAAAAAAGTTACAACAGAATGCCAAGAACTGGTGGCACTTTTTAGCATTTGCTCCCTTGCAGTACCTTCTAGTTTTCAGCTCCTTAAGCTTTAATGTTGGGGCCAAAAAATGGAAACTACACAACTACCTAAAGCAATAATTGTCTCTGTTTTCTTCCCCTCCCCGGGCTTTTAAATGCAGAGTGTGTGCTGAGAGGGGCTTGCAAGAACAGACCCTGAGACATCTGGTGGCTTTGCCAAGGGAGTGCACCTTCAAGATAAAGAGCAGAGACAAGCAGCCTGTGTTCTCCACTCAACTCTATTCCTGGCAGATGCCTTCTTAACCTAAACCTAAAATAAGTTGCTTATGTCCCAGGGTGCCATCTTAACTCTTGAGGCAGGAGAAGCTAAAGAGATGACCTGCACTTTTAAGTGGGATCTGTGCTAAAGATTGTGTTGCCCTTTTGTAGCACACTCTATCCAGAAGCTCAAAACTCACTGAATTTGTGCTACACTCCCCATATGACCTGCTCTTCAGAGGGATGCTAAAGTACTGTAAGATTTTATGATGGGCACAATGCCACCCAGTAAATCAGTAGAAGCAAGAATAGCAGAAAGAGCTCCCAAAATTCTTTCCTACCATTTGTTACTCTGGAAGAAATCTGTGAACTACTTATATCACAGTGACGTGGAAGACATCAACTGTCCCACCTTCAAGACAATAATACTAACAGTAGATTATATAGACTAGCTCCCAGGAAGCAAACCCCAGCTCTCGTTCTCATCTACAAAGGACAGCCTGATTTTGGTTTCACTAGCTGCCAGGCTGTTTTTCACCCCTTCTTTTGTAACTGATCCATCTCTGGTTGATCAACCAGATTAGAGTACAAACTTTCAGGCTGGAGCAGATCTATTACAGGTGCCCCAAGAAGACTGAGGCTCTCAATTCTGCTAATCAATAGGGTTCTGCTCCCACGCACAACTGCACATACTGGTAACAGAAGCTGTCAGAGAGGGTGCCAGCTGGGATACTGCTTATTGAACGGGGTTTATTTTCTGCCTGGATTAGTTCTCCATTCATCACCAGCTCTGCATTCCCAGCCACAGCAGGTCATCAAAGCAGCCCATTAAATACTAAATGTAGTTGATATTTTTAATCCAGTCATCACAGCTTTCTCTTTAGCAAATAAAATCATTGAAGGCTTTGACTAGGCAGGCAAGTTGTTAAAACACTATCTTCCCAAGTATAAACATGGCTGAAGCCTGCAGTTCACTTCTATCAGGCAACAGAAAACTCAGGTGAGAACAGAATCCTTCCGTCTTCTACAGGCCCAATTTCAAATGCTACGATGGTCATTCTGGAAATGAGGACTTTATTAGTAAGGGTGAAGTTGACAACACTCCCCTATACCTCACTCAACTTTCATCTTGCATTGCTTCCTGCAAGGCACTAATACAGGCATGTGCATGACTATACAGTGAAATGAGCAAGGGAACTGACCTACACAGAAGCCAGCCTAAAAAAGAAAGTTACTTTTGAGCTGGATCTGTTCCCAAACCTCTTTACCATGCGGCTGCACAAGCATTTGTACTGCCACATCCTCAGCCATGCTGCACAGGCACCAGCAGTGTCAATGAAAAGCTGGAGAAAGGTTAAGCAAGAACATGATCGTGGCTTAATTCGCGCTCCCAGCCCCACTGAAAACAAATTTCTCTAGTTATTACCACTCACATGCACAGAATAAGCACTTACACAAACAAACTTTCTAAGAGTGTAGAAGCAGCTAAAGATAAAAATAGTGAGGCCAACCTACACTTGCAAGGGAAAAGTACTGAAAAACAATTTATTCTTTTTCAAACACTACTGTTCAGAAAGTAAAGCAAGGAACATCCTTCCTGGCTTAGAGGTCACATTTCTGAATGACCATTTTGGGTTGTCATCACCTGTTACCGACACATGAGGTCTCTCTCGGGCTCTTTTTCCCCGTGCTTCTCCTTTAGCAGCCCAGATTCTTTATTAATTAAAAGGTATCTTTCTATAGACAGTAACTGAATTGCAGTCCCTTCGGTCTGCTAAGGCTACAAAACACAAGCAAAAATTGTCACGCTTTTTTTATCCTAATGATTTGGTGGCAGAGTATTTGATGTAATTAAAGCACACAATTAAATTACCCATTTTCTGAAGTACTGTAATTGGAAGATAGTATTTAGAAAACACTGTCAAAAATACAAGCAACCACTTATAACATGTACTACAACAGATGAGCTCAATAAACTTACAAACTGGTTTAAGTCTAAGTGTGGCAGACTCATTAGAAAACCAGCTACTCACTTGCAAGTTAAAGGCATATAATTACATTGGTCAGTGTCTATGCACACTTGGGGGACACAGTGCACTGGAATAACATATTAAAGTCTGAAAGATGCACCGAGATCACAAGCCACAGCTTTGATTCAAGAACTGAGCAGTTTAGTCTCAAAAAGCTGGGCTGTAGATCTCACAGGAACAATATGCTTTCAATCTCTCACGCCTGTTACAAGCTTTAGGTCACTTAAAGCGGTATCACAAGGGACCTTCACACAAACAACAAAACAGAGGAGGCTTGAGTAGGCTTGGGAGTTCATCTTATCTTGTTAAGGATAACCAGCAGCAAAGCATGCCAACTGCCCACAGAAAAGGCAACACTGCAGCAGTCCAGACCCTCCAAAGGGAAGGAGAGAGTTGCAGGCATCCGGATGCCAGCAAACAAGTAGATTTCTTTCTTCTTTTGAGTGAAAAAAAACCAAAACCTAAACCCCTGCCAAGGACTTAAAGGAAGAAGCATTAAAAAAATTGATTTCACATAGCATAGACAATAAAAGGTCCATCTTCAGGGAAAAAGAAGCACTAACATGTACCACAGCTACGACAGGAGGTTAGAAATGGCAGATCCACAGCTGTGTTTTCATCTCCAGATTGCTGAAGGTCACAAAATAAAACACCATATTTGCGGGTCAGCTGTCCCCTACCCCGGCCCTGCATCAATAACCTGGGGACAATATTTCGTCTGCTAACTGGGAAGCTGAGAAACTTAAGAAAATGTACTTGTGTGGAAAGTATTCCAGACACACAGTATGTTTAATACCAGGGAAAGCAATTTTAAGCTTAAGAAACACTCAAAAGGGCCTTAACAAAAGTAGAAGTATAATGATTCAGCACTATAGCAGAGAACAATGGGAATTCAAACCTTATTAACAACTGTGTGAAAAAAGGATATATTTTCTGCTTCTCTTCATTGTATAAGACATCTACCAACTGGATAACATTTTTGTGCCGTAATCGTCGCAGGAGCTGAATTTCCCTGCAGGAAGACAAAAGGAAAAAAGTTATGTTTAAAAAGCTTATTTCCTTACTATGGAATGAAATTAACATTTTCTAAATCACATAGATTTTAAAGACACTTCAAACTGTATTAGTCCCAGCCGCTTCACCTAAGACTACCTATGCATGCTGTTTGACAGAAGGTCTTGTGTGTTCTTGAATTCATTACTCCAAGGTTAGACCATGAAAATACTTACTAGTCACTGACTAGGACTATAAACAAGCACCCTTTCAGTTAACATTACACAGCCAGTCAGTTTTCTCTGGGCAGGAATTTTAGTACAGCGGTAAACAAGAGCAGGAGAACCATGCCCAAGGAGCAACCTACCTTTGTGCTGGACATGAAATTGGTTGTAAGAATGCCCTGTGCCAATGCTTTGGTGCCATTCAACGCAGGCTGTGTTACTTCTGCTAATAGAAAGTTTTATTCTGCACGCCAATGTAAACATTATTCTGGTTTTCCCCACAAAAATCTGTGTAGTGCTCCCCTTTAGCTGTTTGACTGGTCAACAGTAGGACGTTGACAGCCGAACATCTCCATTCAAAGTGAGCAGGAAAAAGACAATGGCAAGCTTGATCAGAAGTGCATCGTGCTGAGCCAGCCCACAGAAAACACCTGGTGAGATCCTGCTGGACCCTCAGACACCAGGCTGTGTGGAAAGAGAAATCAACCTCAGGACACACTCTGCAAACCCCCCTGCCTCCACAAAGCAGCACTGGCACTGGGCTTGCAAGGGCCTGGTGCAGCAAGCCAAGCCTCCTCCTCCCACCCATTTAAGACGGGTTTACCATGTCCCCTGCGGTCCCCTTCTCAGCTCACACCCTTCCCTATGGCCCTGGGCAAATGCCTCACCATTCCCAGTTAAAGCTAGTGCTGACTAAAGGAAAGGTATAATTGGAACTGAAACACTGCCCTGTCAACTGCTCAGGCAAGTCAAAGCCTACCCTGATTTGCTCTGCATGTCAAAGATGCAGCTTTATCAGCTTCCTTCCAATTAAAGCTTTTCAAACAATGCTGACTGTTGGAAGCTTAGCTCACTACCAGTCTCTTCTGTTAAACCCCTAAAGATGCACTACATTAGTGTTTACCATAATATCTAGGACAGTCACTTCCAAGACAAACCTTTCATGTTTGCACTTCGTGCTTCTTTATACATGTCATCTGTAGTGACAAGAGCAGAAATAAATTTGCTTGGGCTTCCAGTCTTTGTACTTCAGGGTACGTTTTTAATCAGCATCGTGACCAGGAACAACCCCCACAGATGTCAGTGCAAGGCAGCGTCGTGCAGTTAGGTGTGCTCCTGTTGTCGCAGGCAGCGCCCGGTGCCAAATGTGGCAGAGCAGTTAACACTACATAGCCCATTTCAGCACAAATTCTGTTATTTAGCTGGGAAGCAACTTGAATATTAGTTACTTGCCAAAAAAAGAAATAAAAAGTTTCTGCACCTAACAAGGAATTCCTTCTGATAGCTCTTGGATTATGAACAGATAGAAGTAATTTAAACATAAATATAAAACCATCAGAAACTGGCTGACCTACTAAAGACATGAACAAACGAAACCAAATTGATTTTTTTATTATACCACATGAAATTCATCTGAAGAGGGGTTGTTCAGCAGAACATGATTTTCTACAGAACACATAAGCTGCAGAAAAACCAGGAGAGGAACCTCACTAGCAAAAAGAGACAAGTGCATCTCCAGCAGCACTGCATCTTGCACAACGCATGCAGTCCGCAGCCATAAAGGGGAAGACAGCCAACCTGCTGAGGCTGCCAAAGGAGCAGCGAGTCTCCAGTGTTCCCGACCCGAGAAGCCCTGCACCAAAAGCTTCCCGCAGCCAGGAGACGAGCGTGATGGGTGTCAGAGCTGAGGGATGCAAGAAGTTCACGGGTGGCAGATGACAACAGCCTCCCAGCAGTCCCACCAGCCACTGTGGAGCTGGCCTTGGCTGGGTCCCAGCAACTCCAAACTCTACCTCAGCACCCCTCCAGCTCACCTCCTCACTCCCGATGTGAGCTGTCTGGAGACCTCCCACCGCAACACAGCCCTGCTCCCTGCCACACAAACCACACTGAGAGCTGCTGGGAAGTCATGCACAGTTTAACAGCTACAGGCTGCCCACCCCTGAGCACCATCAAAACCAACATACAACAAGCTGTTCAGCATCGGGGTTGCAGGCCAAAGACCCCTGACCCGGCCAGTCCGCTAGTCTATTTGGGCGATCAGTTTAAGTGTCTTTACAGTAGAGCTAGTACAGAAATCATCCTGAAGACACATCAAATTCCTCATGTGCAGTAGCCAACTATTGAGGCAGTTTCATAGTGCCCTTTAATAAAGCTATAACTTCCAGGAGAATTTAGAAACAAAGCAACCAATATAAGAATTGCAACATTACTCTCAAGAATGAGTCAGAAACAGGAATTCCAGCTAATAACTCCATTTCTTCCAAACTTCAGTCCTAACTTAACTTGACTGAACAGTTCAGAGATCTGAATTGAATCCTCTGTTTGTGGGGAATAAAGAATATAAAACTGAGTGAGGAGACATCTTCCCTTGGCTATGAAAATGGACCCTTGTATGTCATCTCCTATCAGCTGTTTTGATCTTTGTCTCTTGGGATTTTGTACTGTGTCCCAAACCACATTTTAGTATCTTTTGCATTAAACTCAGCCTGCAGAATCCCACTGGATGCCAGCTATGAAGATGAGAAACAGGAGGATCAGGACAGTCAGGTCAGGGTGGTTCTGTCAGTGTCTGGAAGCGCAGATACTGCTCTTCACTTCATTCTTCTGCTGCTCAATTCTGGGCTTGTGCTAAACTGTACACAAACTCTTCTTTCCAGTTTCTTTCTCTTGCTATTTAGTAAGTTGCTTTAAGAAACAGGGTTACATTTCAACAGTTAGGACTCTTGAAAGCAGCATTACAAGGAATTCAGAGCACAGCTTTGGAAGCAAGAGCCTCTGCCCAAACACATGACACACCAAGCTCAGAAAGGCACTCACCCCTTGCCTGCACAATTAGCCAGCCTCTAATAACAAGCTGTGGCCAGTACAAAGGCTTGTTGATGCATCACATCTGATTAACAAACCAGTAACTGCTCCTTCAAAAGGCTCATAAGATGCAGGAATGCAAGCAGGTTTTTTTTTTAAATATTTTAAGGATCCCCGAGCAGTAGTATTAATTACTTCACTACCAAAGTTTGGGCCAGACACTCTTCCTTTATCATATATGGCTTTAAAAAAACCCAACATTATGATAGCTAAACAGAAACCTAGGATAAGGCAAAGCTCAGAAGAGTGTTTATTTTAAATGGCAGACAGATTTGCAAAGTGATGCAGCTGCTCTAATTATAGTAATGACCAAAAGGCTGAAGTGGATTAAATTAGCATAGAAACTGCAGCCAGCATTAGTGTAGGTCTAAGAAGTTCCTGCATAATGAAGGGAGACAGGCTGAGTGCTCAGACCAAGCCGGCAAGAGAGGGAGTGAACACACATACTTTTTAAAATAAGACTACTTTGCTGTGAAGGCAAAGCAAGCTTCCAATATTAGGAACATGTTTAAAATCCTGATCCCAACAGCTCATTCCCTGTAATACAGCTTGAAAGCACAAATACTAATTCCTTCCACCTTCAATGGACTAATAAATATTTCATATTTCTGTAATGATTTTTTTCTTCCAGAAGAACTTTGTGAACCAATCTAAAATGCCAGTGAAGTGCACCCACCTCTGGGGCAGAGGCCAAGCAGCCCATTTCCCAGAGGAAAGATTACTTCTATTTTTAGCTACTCTTGCATTCTAGAACAACTGAGGAACAGAGACAGCCAGACCACAGTCACCTCTGATTCCATTTCAGTTTTCAAACTTCACCAAGTAAGTGAACATAGGTGGTCACCTCATCAGAAGGTGCCTACATTTACTTTTTTCAAAATTAACAACAAAAAAACCACCCCAGCCCACTGCTTGCTTTGTAATTTGCCTGCAGAACAGCATTTCAATTGACAGTACTGGGAAAGAGAGATTTGCATGCCTACAGTTTGTTGCCTTTTCTCTCAACCAAGGCAAGGCAGCTTCCTGCCTTTCCTATACTAGCCTAGTGAATCTGCTCAGATTTTCAGGATACCTTTTGAGCTGCTGCAACTTTGCCTCCTTTCCTTGCTACCTCTAAAATTTAACATGAAATTTAAATCACAACAGTTGCTTTTGAGATCAGACCCCTCTCCAACACAGAGGGAAAGGGAGAACGCCAGCAAGGGGGCCAGGCTGTGCTTTCTGCAATGCGGTAATCGCCTCCATACCCATCCTCCTTTACACCACTATTATGTGGCCAGAATAGTCTCCATTATGGAATTGTTCCTAGCTTTCCAGACTAGAAAGCCCTCAAGTGTGTGACAAGACAGACTGCCAGAGTACAGGGCTTGCTTCAAAGTACAACCATCTTGGAGAAAAAAACAGAGAAGAAAAGATCTGGTAAGTTTCTGTGTGGTTCTGTCAGACCCATTAAGCTCATCCTGCCAGATGAAGACTTATCCCTAGCAAGGTACCTTGCTTTGGCAAATAACAGGATGGTGGTGGTGTTGCTCAGAACTGTATATAGCAAAGCTGCCTACTTGTACCATGTGCTACACGACTTTGGAAGATGCCAAGGACAGCCTGGAAAGACAACATTCTTTCCTGGAGCACATCTGCAATGTAAGATTTAGCATTCTTTCTACGGTTTGTTTCAAGCCTCAGTTTCATCAAAGCCATTCTTGTTTAAATAAAAATGAACAATACAGCCAAAAGATTCATTCCCTTCCTTTGGTTGACAAGGTTCCTCCACAGGTCTAAGCTTATAGGATTTTACTGGAGATGTGTGATGGTGAATCTTTTCCATGTTACCTACCAGGTCAGATCATATGTCAGAAATGAGGGTTTGCAGCAGGTCTGCAGCGAGAGTCTTCAGCCTGGGAGAAGCTTACCCCCACCCACTCCTTTA